ACATGAGTAAGCTTTTAGCTGAAAACTGTGCAGTCACAGCTAGTGCAGCATCAGGATAGTACTGCACTATCCAGCTTGCAATTTGTGGCACTGTCATTGTAGAAAGCAGAAGAAAAAGCATAAAAGAGAAACTACATTTATCAGCTTGAAAATACCTTGTAAACATGAAATCAAGTCAGAGATGCAGTTTTCAAACACAAATGCGTGAATGTACATCCATCTTTAAGCTATTAAATCATAGAGATTATAATGTCAGAATTATTGATTCTCAATGAGATCCAAGTATTGGTGTCATAAAAATCGTCCTGGATTAGTCTCTTGGCTGTGAAAGGGCTGATTCATAAAGCAGAGAATGGATCTGGAGCCCTCTTCTTCTGATTTCTGTAGTTTGAGAGCCCTGATGCAGACTTTGGATAATAAACATTTTTTTTTAAGGAAAATAAAGGTCACCAATAAACTTCTAATTTTAGTAGTCTCACTTTCTTTAGTTTCCTCAATTGCTTTTCCTCCAAGCAGCCTTTGCAAGGAGACTGGCTAACAGTGAAATGTTTTTCAGCTGAGAAATCTCAGTGTTAAAAGAGGCCCCTGGACTCTGAAATCTGGTTCCAGACTGGGAAGCTTGGGAAGTAAGAAGTTTGTTCCCCTCTAGTTCAATGCCCATTCAAGTGCCTACATATTTAATTGCTGCTTGCTTTAATTGAGACTAGACATCCCTGTGGAATTCGCAAACAAGTTAAAGTTGCAGCTCTTATGTTCCCTGAAATAGCTCAGGCACAGCTTTATTCCCCAGAGATGTGTGTGCAGGAGGGTGCATGGGGAGAGTGCAAGCCAAAGATGTCTCAGTTAATGATAACCCTTCCTGAATATTGCCATGGCATTTTTAGATGCTTCTCAGTTCCCAGAGAGATACAGGAAGATATGACCCCAATTTAGCATCTCATCCAAAAAGCAGTAAGTAGTTCTGACAGTGCAGGTCTCCCTAAGATCTGTGTGGAAAAGTCAGACTTGGATGTGAGCCCAGCCTTAGCCTTGTGCTGAAACTCAAGTTTTTTGGGTCCTAGCATGACTTCAGGCAATCCATATTCTGACAAATAGCGACTGTGGGATTTAGAGCTAGTGACAAGGAAATTGTTCCTAAAATTACTGGTGGGGAAAATGGAAGGAGGGACAATTGCAATTATTTGCTGCTACCAAGATAGGCGAGACCTGTTCAGGGAACAAAAGCAGGCTTTGCTTCTTAATCTGGTCACTCTGACACATCCCAAGAGCTTTACATTGGAAGGAAAAGAATAAGAGGCTTGCTCTATGAATAGCTCCTATATCAGAGTGTGGGAGAATGAGACCAGCTTTATGTAGTCTGACTTTATTGTACTTCACATGTGCCTGGAGCCCTCTATCAGCACTGCAGCCTTGTGGTGCTGTGCTAACAAGAGCAAACACAGCCCAGGATTACAGGGGTGACAGGGGTGACAGCCAGAGCTGTGAAGCAGGCACATACTGGTATGACAAACACATTTGCATGGCATCCACAGCCTCAGCCAGATTCATCCCCAGGCTCTGCTCTGTGGCATTTGTGGCAGAGGTAAGGCATAAAAGTGTAGTTGATAGAAGACAAGATGGCACCTTGTGGGGAGATTTTTACCATGATTTAGAGGGTAGGCTATGAGAAAACATAAAAGTGTCTCCAGGAGAAATGACAGAATCTGTTATCTTTAGTGAGGGAAGAAAGTTTTCTGTAGTGACAAGATATTAGATTTAAGAGCCAAGGAGAGACCAAGCAGTGAAGAGGCTTCGAGGTAAAGGCTCGAGCTTTTCTTCCAATCCCACAGAAATATTTATAGTGTCAAGACATGTGCTATCAAGATGAAAAAATGAAATCTCAGTAACAGTGCTTTGATGTTTCTTAGCTGGTGGGGATCTTGAAAAAAAAAATCCATTGTGTCTGACTTCATTATAGAAAAGAAGCTATAAATTCTCTCTGCTTTCCTCATGAATGATCCCCAAGGGCAGCTGGGGAGTCAAGTTGTTCCAGCTTTCATGCAAATGTCACTTTTCACACTCAGCCCATGGAACCTAATGAGCACCACTGCAACTTTGGGCACACCAGTGAAATCACCACTAAGGCTGTTGTGCAGCTGCTGTATAGTTCCAGTCCTTGTCTGTACTTCCAATTTTCAGGTGCCCTTGAGGTAGCATCTCTGTGACCTGTGCTTTGTGCATCAGGGATATAAGAGAAGGAAAGTTTTTGTTTGGGTTAAAATGTTCTGCTAGGGTTGTGCTTGAGTGTCTTTAACATGAGAGCTGTTCCCACTCTGCAATTCCATGAACAGACTATGAAATCTGTTTTTATTGTGTTAAGCTTAGTTTTAAAAAACAAACAATTCTGAATCAGAAAACCAGAAATTATCAAAATATGAAAATTGTCAAAGTAATACTTATCAAAATATTTTCCTAATAAAAATTTCAATACTTTCAAAAATTCAAAATTTGTCAGTGTGCCCTGGCATCCAGGAATGCCAACCATGTTCTGGGGGCATCAGGCCCAGCATCACCAGCTGGGTGAGTGAGGGATTTTCCTGCTCTGCTCTGGGCTGATGCAGCCTCACCTCGAGTGCTGGGAGCAGCTTTGGGCACCACAGTATAAGAGATGAAACAATTAGAGAGTGTCCAAAGGATGCCACGAAGATGGTGAAGGTCTGGAGGGGGCATACAGGGAGTGGGTGAGGGCACTGGGACTGTTCATCCTGGAGCAAAGGAGACTGAGGGGAGATCTCATTGATCTTTGAAGTTACAGCTTCCTTGTGAGGAGAAGAGGAGGGACAGACACTGATCTCTGCTCTTTGGTGAGTAACAGGATCTGAGGGAATGGCCTGAAGCTGAGTCAGGAGAGGTTTAGGTTGGATATTAGAAAAAGGTTTTTCACCAAGAGGGTGATTGGGCACTGGAACAGGCTCCCTGTGGAAATGGTCACCAGCCTGATCGAGTTCCAGAAGTGTTTGGACAATGCTTTCAGGCCCATGGTGTGGCTCTTGGGGATGGTCCTGTGCAGGCCCAGGAGTTCATCTTTGATGATCATTGTGGGTCCCTTTCAACTCAAGACATTCTATGATTCTGTGAAAAATACCCTGAAATGGAATGTCCACCTCCTATATGGAAGACCTCCTCCTTGGTGAACTGATACTTTCCACCTGAGAAAATTTTAGCTTCAGTGAAGAGAAAAACTGGTACTTAACAGAGTGCAGAGTGGAGAGAAGTGGATAAAGAGGAAATGTGTTTAAAACACTGAAATGGCAGTTGTTCCTTGAAGGATAAATAGATCTAAGACAAGGCTAAAGAAGAGACATTGCAATACTTGGAATGGGATGCTTAGAGCAAGAAATTTAGCATCTGAACAGCAGAAATAGATTTTTGAAAGTTTATTTAGTGGAATTGGAGTCTGACTGCATGGGTGTAGAAGAAAGAATCAGTGATAACACCCAAGGTACCAGGACTGGCTTCTTGGTGTTACTGTTGTGGTAGAGAAAGGACAGAATTCAGGAGAACAGCTTTACTGGGAGTGATCAGGCTAACAAAAGGCATATACATAGAGAGGGGGGAGTGTGTGTGTGTGTCTATATGAATATCTATGTTATTTATCAGGAAGACAGGCCAAGGTGTGAGATTAGAGGGTGGAGAGTGATCATGAATAAAGTTTTGCATTTGTAATTTATGTATAGGCAGATACTAAATCAGACCAAATGGTTATCTCTGCAATGCTAAATCTTGTTTTCCCAAATGAGCGGTTTCTTAAAAGTAATTTCCCCTGCTTTCTGTTTTTGTGATCTGTAAGGATGGCAGTACTATAATTAATCCCCTTTTGACTCTGCTCATGGATGCTGTAACTTCATACAGCAACATAGTTACACACTGAACAAACTGAAATTTTAGCTTCTTACTTACTTGAATTAATGGGGGCAAACCATTCCTCTAGGGCTGTAGAGGAGAGACAGGTTATAGAGCAAGTTGAAAAGAAAAATGTTAGCCAGCAATTCAGTCATAATTCTGAGAAGGAGTTTCTGCTCATGGGAAAAAAAAAAAAAAAAGTGTGGCTGACCTTCCTGGGCACAGAATGCCCCCAACTTTCACCATGAAATCATTGAAGATTGAGTCTCCTCTGAACTAGCTAAAGCAAACACCGTGCACAGCCCTTTTGAAGGTCTGTGCACGCTCCTCTGTGCTGTGCCTGCCCTCAGCTGGGCTCATTCTCTCTGAAACAAGCACTGCTAGTGTCTAATTTGTGATGGAAATGTGGTTTTGGGGGGTGATGTAATCCCTGAATTTAGCTTTGATTTCACAAAATCACTTTTATCATCTGCATTCCACTGTAATGTTGTGTGCAGAACCAGTGCAGTCAGTGTTGTCCTGGAGTGCAGTTCATAGGGCACTGAAAGGGGGATAGAAGTGCAGGCTGGAAAAGAGGGGTTCTGAGTTTGGGCTCAAGAGTTTTAGTGGCTGCAGCTGCTCCTGGCAGCCCTGGGACTGGAATTACAGGAACACCTGGGAAAGCAGGCACAAGTACTTATGACCCCTATAACTCAGAGCCATTCAAATGGCAGGCAGTGCACTGAACAGTTCCTGAGTGCAATCCCTGCTCTGTCCTCATTTCCAATAAAGCAGCTGTAGTTTGTCATGGGTATTCTCAGGCTCTAGGGAAGCAAGTTGCTTCAACCAGGTACTGCATCCAGCTGCTCAGACTTCAGGAAAACCATTCAGCAGACTTCAAGAGAGATTAATCAAATGGCCTGGCTGTAAAAACCTTACCCAGAGTAGGTAAGTCACTGCTGGATCTTGCCTGTCAGAGCAGAAACATCCTTCCCCAGACCTGGGAGACACAGCCTGTGCCTCTTTAAATCTGCGCTGCATGCTGCAGTGCTCTGCATTGTTGCCATGGCAGAAATCTCCCCATAGTAATAACCTCTTTCAGAGAAGGTTAAAAAGAGACAGTGCACATGCTCAGAAATGCTGCACTTGTTCTCTTAGCAGTTTGCAGCGGCCATTTCAAAGAAACCATCACAAAGACAAGAGAAAGATCAGGTACTGATATTTTTTCCTTTGTTAAAGGGGGTTACTTTTTCATAGAAGTCCATGCACAGATCTGTCTCTGTTCCCAGTTGCATTGCAGAGAGAGACCACGCTTGAAGCCTGTCATGATTATTCCTTGCAAATTCCCATGCAATAACTGAGAGGCAGGAGTTATGTGTGATTAAAGATGATTGCTGCACTAGAGAAGCAGTTGTTTTGCAGTGGGGCTCACATACAAAGCTGAGCTGACTCTGGGGTGGGTGATGGGTAAGATACCCCAAAAAAGTTTAACAGCATGTCTGTTTTGTTTTGCTGAACCTTTGTAGTACTCATAGTCAACTATGAGAATAGCCTCTGCTCCTACTGACCAGGAGGCTTCTTCATCAGGTACTTCCAAAAGAGGCTGATGTTATCCTAATTTACTATTACTTGGAGACACTCTGCTGCATCCTATTGCAAAGACTGGTATTTTTGATTCTGCTTATTTTGATTGCAGATCACCATTAATTAAAACAGAAAACCCAAGCCACTTGCAGTGATTTTAATCCCTTTATTTTAGGGATTGTAGAGATAAGAAAAAGGATCACATCAGATCTAAATAGTGGCTGAGGTAGGAAACCTAGCGAGGGTATAGAAATGTATAGAAATTACATTACCCTATCTTTTTGTTGCCATGGGCTCAAGTATGTCTGTGACTCTGCTCCTACATGTTTGTGTTTTGCTTCTGAACCATTCCCTACTCCTGTGTTTAGGTGGAGGTGCCCAGGAAGGGCTGTGTACAATGTTGCTCCTTCCCTGGGTGAATTGCTGGTTTGCACATGCTGCAAGTGTTCGTGCAGAATTTTCAGCTTCACTTTGGCTGTGTCTGAAAAGGTGGATTGCACATATTGAAGAGCAGTCTTGTTCTGTTCTGTGTTTGTGGCACAATGGGGAAAACCCTTCCCTCTCCTGCCTCCCTCTGCTGCCTTTCTAAATGTGAAATACAATCTGTTCTGGGGAGTGCTGTACTCTTGCATTCAGTACATGCAGATTTAATGCTCTTATGCAACATCTTTTGCTCAGTAAGCACCAACTTGAAAATCAGAAAGAGGCAGAATATTGTCCTGCTTTCCCACAGCTGAATGGATTTTTTTATGTGGATTTTATTGTAGTGCCATAACTTAGCCTTATTTAAGTATTTCTTTCTTCCATTTTGATGTACAGGAATGAAAGATAAACTTGGCTGAGTTAAGGACCTCTCTAGCAGTGTGCCAGAATCTTTGAGGCTTGGATTGAGATCTCTAACAAGCAATTGACACTTGAGCCAGTCCCTTTTGCTCTGAACAATTTGTGTTGGGTCAAGAAAATACTTAATCTGAAACTTATAAAAAAACTTGCCTCTGTGTGAAGGGAAACTGTTGCTGGACCAGGTTGTACCAACCTCAGGACATGGTGTGGCCTTGCTGTGGTGTTCAGGAACAAATGGATGGCTGCAAATAATGGCCTGAAGCCCAGATTAGGAGGGGAAACAGAAGGTCAAAGAGTTTTGATGCATTCACCATCAGAAATTCTACCTATGAATTTGTGGAGGTTTAGCAGAAGTCTTTTCCTTCAAATACTTTCATAAAGGAGTTTTTATAATTAGCGTGCTGTGTAATGCTAGTGGCTATCTTTAATTATTATACTTGTGAAAAGATGATGCAGTAAAGGAAGCCAGAGGCCAAAGACCTTGTTTCCAGGTTCTGTTTCAGCCAGCTCTGTAATCCCTGCAGTTTTGACCTCAAAGTCTAACAGTGATCCAGCTCTCCACAGATCTGTGACTGTGTAGTTAGAAAAAACTCACAGACCAGGCAAAGCTGCTGGCATCCTGGCTTTGAAATGAAAGCAAGGACACTCTAGGGACTTCTTATCTTGTGTAGGAATGTTCTCTCCCAGCTGAGTTTTATGTATGCTCTGGAAAGGTACAGAGAACTTTTCTCCATGCTCTAGATCTCCGGGTATTTTGCTTTCTTTCAGAGGAAGACTGACAATGCTTTAGGCATCAGGAACATTAACTACTTTGTAACAAAACCCTTGTGTACCTGTAAAGTCCCTCAGTAACTTGTTTATGTCTCTTGACAAGCAGGGAAGCAGCCATTCCCAAGATGCTGGCATCCTGCCTTCTGAGAAGAGCCGTCCTTACAGCTCCTTTAGTTTTTGTGGTTGCCCTGCTGGTGGCGGAGCCTGTTAGAGCTGACCAAGAAGCAGGAACAGCCATTCCAGCTGAAAGTAGGTACCACCCTGCAGCCCTCTCCTACAGCCCCTACTGCAGTTCTCATGTTGCAGGACTCTGAAGGTTGCCCAAATAATTCAGACTATTTTGGATATGTCTTGCCTACATTGTTTTAAAACCACAACCTGATAACCTACCAGTGCTGTTTTGCTCCTGCATCCAAAGCTCTTCGCTCTCTTATCCTTGTCTCCTGCCTTGTAGCTGAAATCTGCCACTGTTCTGCACCTTTTCTTTTGTCCATTGTGTTAGCCCTTTCTATGCCAGCAAACACCATGTTTGCTTTCCAGAGACATTACTGAGACTTGTTCTTTTTCAAACGACATTGACTGTTCATTATATTTTGGTTTTGAGAATGATTGCTGTTTTAAAGTCATGAATTTTTATTAAAACAAAATCACAATGAAGATGCCAAGAAAGGATTTTGTCAACACCTAGTCTTGGGGCCTTCAACCACCTAATTCTCCTTTGCTGACCTGTGTTAGTTTATTTTACTTTATAAACATGACAGGTCCTTGCATCAAGTTATGTGAAAAACTGCTGTCCTCTCCTTTTGTCCAGAGTAAATATAGTAACACTGAAGCTGGGTGATGGATGATGGAGCAGGTCTTTAATACTGTTTAATGTGGGGGTTTTATCTCTTTTTTCTATTTTTTTTTTCTTAGCCAGTAAGAGAATTTGGCAGGCTCCCTTTCTCCAGCAGGCAGAATTTCTGGTTGCTGGTTAGCACTCAGACCATGAACTGGAAGCTCATTCTCCAGCATGTCAGAGGCATGTACAGTCCAACATCAAGTGCTTGCAAAATGGGCTTACAGACAAGACACAGCAGAATTTTCAAACATTAGTCTAGATTTCAACCTTTCATTCATATCAGACCCCAAAAAGCAAACAAAACCTGGTTCAGAATTTCTCACTTGTGCAGTATTTCTGGTGAAATTGTCAGCCAGGCACAGGCACCGAGAGGCAAATGAGAGCAGATGTAGGGCCTGATGAGATAAAGATGTTTTGTCCTGTCTGTTTGCTCTGTCTCAGTATTGGTGTCTGTTAGGGCACAGATCTGTGTTACATGGTGATCAAGGCAAAACAGACCTTGTGGTCTTCAGTCTGAGTGTCTCGATCTGGGAACGCTCTCTTAAACACCCCAGTAAATCCAGATTGCAGCACTTCTGCTTATCAGCAATGCCCAGGGCATTTGTTTGGGCAAAGCTGTATTGTATTCAAAGTTTGAGGCTGAAATGGTCCATCTTTATGATATTGTAGTCAGTTTTATTCCATTAGTTTTCTATTTAGAGCTCACATTTGTTAGATTAGGAGATGAAATTTTTCTAGGGAACAGGTTCTTGTTTTCAGACATAATTTCTGAAAAATCTGAAGATAAGGTTGAAAATGTGCCCAGGGTTAGTGGAGCAAAATCAAAGGCTCAAGTTAAGGGTTTATTGTTTCCATACAATGAGCTGTGGAAGATAAAGTGGAACAGCAATATAGCAGGAATGAAAATATTAACGTAAATTTTAAGTAATTCCTTTATAATTGAGAGACTGAGTTGTCCATCATAGTGAACCAGTTACAATAACCTGGGTTGCTCAGGAGTACCTATGTCAGTACTCACTTGGACTCTTTTCTGTAGCTCTTTCTGATACTCAAAATCACTGCTTAATCCTTCTAGTTAATTCTTCATGCCATGTAGTCATGATTCTCTACTCTGCTCTCCTAGGCCGCCCCTGTGTCGATTGCCATGCCTTTGAGTTCATGCAGAGAGCTCTGCAGGATTTAAAGAAGACAGCATATAATCTAGACACGAGGGTAAGGAAACATTAAATGTATTTTTCTTTTTTTTTTAATGTAAAAGAAAATTCTGTGGGTAAAAGTAGATAAGGTGGATGGATTTTGCACACTTGGTGAACTGTACTGTCCTGTGTTCTAAAGGGAGGCTGGTTAATTACATTTCACCTCTCTGTGCAGTAATCTGTGGAATTCTTCTGCTTTGGGGTATCAGGGACACTAGGAAGTCAAGGAAAGTGTGAACTTTATCTTTCCCTTGCCAAATTATAACCATTAGTACTGCTCTTTTCACTCCAAATGCTGAGCACACACATTTGTTTTTATGTCAGGGGGAGTGAGGTGAGAGTAACATTTATATTTATTACCCAAAAGGAAAGAGCCAGCTCAAACAAAAAGCCTACTAAAATAAAATACTCCCCTGCACATGTTTTTATCCCTGAGGAGAAGCCAAGGGAAGAAACATCATCTGTAGAGACTTTTTACATTTCTCTGATTTCATAATGATGAAAAATGCCACAAAGTAGAAGAGCACAGGGAATGGGACTTGTTTGGCTTGCAGTCAGTGTGCAGAATCTGCCAGCTTTGGAACCTCCTTTCTGTGGGGGATGTTGAATCTGCCTCTTGCTGCTGCAGCCTGCAATCTGTGCCTACCTGTGTCCCAGCTGCTGTCAGATGGTGGTGTCCCAGGAGGGTGGCTTTGTCCCCACCTCCTGTGTCCCCTTTAGCTGAAGTGCTATAGATACACTCCTGCACAGATTGCTCAACAGAAGGCACTGAAACTTTTCTGCTTTTCTAATCTATGGTCAAGGTTGTTCACAGCTCAGAGCAAACTATTGTCTTTGAGGAATGGTTTGAGGTTAGTTCAAGCACTCGATGTTTAAGTGAAAATACAAGTGCATGAACGAAGATGCCTTGAATTTTGACATACTACAAAAAAATAAACAAACATTCCAGCAGAACCAGATTGGTGTGTAGCACATTTACAGCCAAACAAAATCTGTTCAATAATTACAGGTCAAATATATTTGGGGCTTCATGAAGAAATCTTGCTAATGAATCTGCTAAGCACTTTATACAGCCCAAACAAGATGTTCAGATTGTGCTGTAAAGTGGTCCTAGCACACCTCTTCCTTCTACAAACCTTTGAACTTTTCATCAGAATTTCTACATCTTGATGCAAAATCTCTTAATGTTTTCTCTGGGTGTCTGGCTATGGCAGTGACCTTTATGAAACCTTCAGCTTGCAGACCAAGTGAAAAACTTCATAATACACATATGTCCAAAGCAGAAGTAGCAATAAGAACCCCAAATATAGCAACTGTGTTTCAATACTTTTAAAAAAAATAAGAATAAAAGACAGCCAAAGAGATAAAATGAGGACAGAAAAAAATCCAGTTGAGATGAATGTCCTATTATTGGCTTTCACACTTGTAGATTTGATAGCAAGCCTGAAAATGTGATATATTCCCATGAAAACAAACCTACCACTTCCTTATCACTTTAAAATCTAAATAATTGAATTCATATTGAAATCCTTCAGTTCTCCATGAGTAGAATAGGCCTACTGCAGTCATTAAGCTAGGAATTCTGCCTACACCCTCAAAAGACATGGAAATATTTAATAGTTGAGGACTTCTTGGAACTGACTTCTAGGGTATTTTAATTCTTACTTCTATTATTCAGCTGTGGCACAATTTAATGCAAAAGGAGGGTTTTAGGACCACTGCTTTCAGCCACATATATATTTCACATTTGACTGTTTTAGTCTGTTTTGCTGCTTTGTGGGGCAAATATTCCTGTCCCTGAAAAAACAATTCCCTTTGTTAATATTCCCAGTGGAGATATTAATTTCCTTGAAAAACTCTCCTTTGTTTGCAGGCAAGATCGTTAGATGATGACTAAGCAGCTCCTAGCTGTGTTGGAGGGGGAGGGATTCCCAAAAGCTTAGAGAGGAAAGTCTCATTTAATTCCTCCTGCACATCTCACCCTGCACTTCTGTACAGGGGAAGCCTGTATATCATTTTATTGCACAAGAATGTTGCTCAAGAGCTCCCACACTTCATTTGGCCCTGGGTTGATCTATATGGTGTCTCAAAGCAAACTGACCCTAGCATAGGTCACAGACCCTTTTATGATGGCCATAGACTGGATCTCCTTCCTTTTCCAATTCTAGCTGTGTTTGTAACCTGCACTGGTGTGATGATCCCTCACAAGTTGTCAGGCTGACTGCATGGGAAGGGTCACAGGCCACTTCTGACAGGCTGATTTCTACACTTATCAAATATGTTTACCCCTCTCTGTACATTTTTTTGTTGCTGCTGGCCCCTCAGAGCAGGCTGGAGTAGCTGTTTTGGCAGTGAGAACTAACTGCGCAATATTTTGTGGAGATATCTGTGGTTCAGCACTCAGCCAAAGTGCTGCATGTGATCATGAACTGGGGAGTGGGGTCTTGTGCTGCTGGGAGGGAGTTGCTCCCACCACAACCACTGAGCCAGTTCACAGCCAGCTCCCTGTGGCATCTAAAAGCCCCTCAAGACATAGCCCAGCAGGGAGTCAGCTATAAAACAAACTGGAAAAGAAATCCGGTCCATGGGCTACACCGTTCACTCTGCGTCTTCACTTGTTCTCAGAACTCCAACCCATTTTTCAGAGTTAACCAGTGCACACTGCATTATAACTTTAAAGAGATCAGTAACTGCATTTTTAGCTGGAACTTAACATCTCTTTTTGTAGGTTAAAAATCTGATTTCTTTTTATGGTTTTTGCTTGGGTTTGTTGGGGTTTTTTTTCCTAGGTCTGGTTTGGTTGGTTGGGTGTTGCTGGTTTGGTTTGGTTTGGTTTTGTTTTCTTTTTATAGAAACAGATTTTAACCTACCAGGCAATAATAACAAATCCGAGTGCAAATAGTTTTGTGATCATGCTCACAGAACAGTCAGCAAAGCTGTATTTACTGACATTTGTTTTGTTCTTTATTGTTTTATAAACTGCCCGTGGTTATTTAGAACATTTAAAGCACAGTAAGCTAGATGTGCTCCTGAAAATAAAAAAGAAAGGCTTGAAAAAGTTATTAAAGATATAGAAGATGGTGTACAGCCTTGGGTCTCAGCTCCAAAGATGTTGGCATGCTGTCAAGCTTCCTTATTCAAACCATTGTAAATGATGTCAGTGAGGTGGTGAGAAGGTGGTGATTGAGTGTCTTTTCAATGATTAGCAAAGTCTGATCAGATCTTTTCAGTTTTGCAGGGCAGCTGAAACAATCAAAAGTGATACCTGATTTAATATAAAGCCACAGGGCTGTATTTTTTCCTGAGATTTATCATCTGGGGAAAAAAGCCTGAGCAGCAGATGACTTTTCCTGCACTAAGAAGGCAAGTGGGGAGCAGGATGCTTCAGCCCAGCTCTGCTCTAAGTGCCTTTAGATGTGGGTCAATGGATAACACAGCTTTTAAAACACAGCCTTTAATCACATGGCAACTCCATCACTTACAAAAATCCAAGTCAGGCAGATTAAGGATGGGTTTGGTTGGCATTTAGAGCTGGTAGTCTTCATAATGCCTTTTTTTTTATGTGTAGCTGGTTACACCAGTAGGGATTAATTTGGTGAGTGTTCTTCCCACAGCTACTGCAGTAAGGGGGGAGTTCTCTCTTGGGTCAGGCTGATTTTCAGGCACAGCTTCAGCTGACAAATTGAGGTGAAGATATGATGTTGATGTCAAACAGCTCTGCTGCATCATGCATGTACTGAAGCAACAAGTGTTCCAGACAGGCAGGAAAACCCAAGTGTGCATTTGTGTGTGTGCAGGAGAGGAAGGATTCCCCAATTTCCTTATGCAGCCCTGCAGTTCCCCCTCCCTGGTCCTCAGCCCTTTCTCACACAGGTAGGCTGTGAGAGGATGCAGGCCTTTCTGATCATGCCCAGCTCCAGCTCTTGGAAGTTCACAATCCACCCTCATTGCTTCAGAAACAGGGATCTGTGGGCAACAGACATCTCCTGATGTTGATGAACCTCTGCTCAACCCAGAGACCTCTGCTTTCACCAGTTTGGGACCCCTTTCCTTAAAGAAGCCAGGAATCCCATCACATGTTTGAACTGTGATGCCACTCCATGCCAGCTGGGCACCTCTCCTCTGTTTTAGGCTCCAAAACATATTGTCAGGAACTACTGAATCTTCCTATTAGTGAAACAGGAGAAGTTAAAGAAGTTAATTTCTTCAATGAGAGCGGATTCAGGCTGTAATAGTCTAAATTTAAATTCTGAGTCTGTTTTTAAGTAAAATAAAATTTCTGACATGATTTGGAAAGGGTGGGGAGGGCAGTTAAGCCTCAAATGAACTTCTGGACTTATGCTCCAGTTTGTGCTATTGAAATAAGATTGTAAGAAAACACTACTTCCTGGGACATGGACAAAGTTATTTTTCTATGTTGGTATGCCAATTAATCTCACAAAAGGGAAATAATTTTGCAGAGTAGTAAACAATAAGTCTGATTTTTTTACCCCAAAATTCACTTCATACCACTAGTTCCAAATTGTAGAATAAAAAGAAAATTAACTTTTCTTTGGGAGCTAATTAGTTGCTGACACTTGTTTTTTGATGATATTGTTCCTCCCTCTTATAGACAGAAACTCTGCTTCTTCAGGTGGAAAAGAGAAATCTGTGTGACTGTGTAGCTGCCAATCTACTGAACTGAATCCTGGAGACACCTGAGGAGAGTCACCGGCCCAGCGGTTTTTAAAATGCAGCTGTATAAAATACAGCTTTATGGAGCTCACATTGCAAGCATGTATGCCCCAATGTACCAGTGAGATCGGGGCCCTGTCTCTGATGTATTTGTCTGTTCTGTATCTTTTTTAAAAAGTACCCTCTTCTCCCATCTGCTGGATTGCCAGTGAAGGCTCAATTCACTGAAATCTGTTACTTGATATTAGGGTGGGGGGGAAAATGTACCTGCTTTGATTTTTAATCAGAACTTGCCAAGTGTAACCCCCAAGATAATATTGGAGATCAGTGCCCTAGAGACATGTGCAGCTCGTTTTTGTCTCTAATATGAACATATGTCTGTGGCAACTTACCCAGTTACATTGAGACATGGCATTGTGGTCTCTGTAGGCTTTGCCTGTGTATTAAAGATGATGAAGTCCTTTCTGTTTGTTGCCTGTGCTGTGACCACCTTCAGGCATGTTGTAGTTCTGTCAGCTGTAATGGGGTGTGTGTCATGAGGAATTACAGGTCTGCTGGTTTTGGACCAAAGCAGTTTATATCTCAGTGCTGAGCCTTCTGTTGTCCTGCAGAAGAGTATTGTTTTCTTTAATTCAAATGTTTGGTTCCTTCCCCTCCTTACCTGGACACCCCACTCTTAACCCAGTGAATTTCTGAGTAGCTTTATTTTAGCAGGTCAAATGGATAGAGTAAAAAGGAGAATCAGGGTACAATTAGGCAACCTGGCCAGACCCAGCTGTACCAAATGCTGCCACCAGAAACTGCTCAGCATCACATTGAAGGACATTTCCATGCAGTGCCAAGAAGTTTCTTTGTGAGACTGTGCCTTATTTTGCTTCAAGTGAAACACAATGATTAGGTCACATGTTTGGTCCATCCTGTGATGGACTGAACTCCAAATATTTTGGTTTTCCCCCATAGCTGCCTTTGAAAACTGTTCCCTCTGTTTCAGGCATGAAGAAAGACCTTTGTACCCGAAAGCTGAGATTGTTTCATCCTCACCTGTCCCCGTTTATTGTAAGATACTGTGTCCACTCACAAGTCTGAAATGGGCTGAGCACTCTGAGTAGGTGCTTGGAGTTTGCCTGATGTGATTTAGAGCTGTCTCAAATAATTCCAACGTTGAGACTTGGCTTGGGAAGTGGATGGGACATCTCAAAGTAAACATCTCTTCAGCTGAATTTGGAAGAAAGTTCCTGCCTGTGGCATTGCTTCTGTAAATAAATTGGTGTGACTTTGCTGGAAGTGGATGAGAGAAGAAACACAACCTCTGCCACTGCAGCTGTAGGTATGCTAACAACAGCTAGGGGAGCAGGGGAACACTGTAGGGAGCCTGAATGGATTTCCAAACCTGTCCAGAGCTGGTAAAACCAATCCCTGTACATGGAGAAGCACAGCGTGCCCTGCTGTGTGTGACCAGGACACAGGCCAGCACAGAAGCCCAGTGTGAACAGGAGAAAGGATTCTGATGTTATTTTTCCAAAGTCCCTTAAGGAGCAGCTGTGCTGTGTGTTTCTCAGAGTCCATTCACACAGCAGGGGAGAACTGGCACTGCTCATTTCAGGCTGCTTGGCAAAGTCAGTTAGTGCAAGCCTTGCTTGCAGCTCCATTCCCAGACAGTGGGAAGGAGCAGCAGTCCTTATCCATGGCAGAACACTCTAAGGATTTCTGGGAGCAAAGCTTCCTTTGGAGGGCTTCAGCTGGTTCTGGCTGCAGCACAATGGCTTCTCAGAGCTCCTTGGCTTTTGCTGCACTTGGCTTGTCCCCATCCTCTTTCTAGCTTGGCTTTGTTCCCCTGTTTTGCTCTGAACCTGTCTTTTCTCCATTTCAACCTCCATTTCCCCTCCCATTCTGGCACTGCCCTCCTGTAGTCCCAGGGGCTTCTCAGTGCACTCCAGGCCCCTCAGTGACTGCCACCAGGCCCCTGGTGACCCTGTAGTCACTGCAGGGGTGCAGTGGTGGGGGGCTGATACTCCTCAGGTCAGCAGCCCCTTTAGTCCAGATGGCAGCACTGCCAGAGCAATGAGTGGCACTCCAATTTACCAAGGATTGACAGACTTATAGTGCTAGTCAACATCAGCATTTCATTCCCAGGGAAGAGGAATTCACCTGTTCAAGGAAGACATTGTGTGGAAGGACCTCTTTTTACCTAAAAATTAACATTCCTATTGCAGGACTTGGAGGAAGTCCCAGAACAGCTCATTTTCAGATGAAAGCTCTGTTCTTGAAGCTGAATTATTCTGTGGTCTGTCCCCCAGGCTGGTGTAATCTCACTGGCTTGTTACAGGTGTGGACAGGAACCCAGCCATGTTTGCAAGATGGAAACACCTATAGATCTTCATGATTTTTCCCTTGGTGATTGCACAGACACTGGCTTGAACGAGAGAAAATCCGACCATTTGGAATTCCTTCAGTTGTTTTGCTGCACCTCTACTTTATGATCCACCTTGTCAAAACTGGGGAAGTGAAACACGGGACAGAACTGGGCTGTTGCCCCAAGAGAAAGGAGCCAGGATGGGGATAGATGGGGAAAGAAATAACTTTCTCATTCTTTTCTTCAGAATCTGAAAAAAATAAGATTCCTTTCAGTCTGCAGAAGCTCTAATAGGACCAGGATTTTCCTAGCAGATTTTTGCTGCTCTTTTAAAGTCCACCTTAACGATTATCTTTTCATTCAATTACTGTTCTGGGTTAATGCTTGTTCAAAATCTCCCAAATGACAGGAGAGCAGCTAATATGCCACCAGTTCTGAAAAAGGATTGGCAGGGAGGTATGGGAACTGCACCCAGCAACTAGAATATCTGTTCTGGGCAAGTGAAAAGAAATTTTTGAAGAATTTGAATATGTAAAATCAGGTTTAGTATGACAGTGTGACAAGACTCAAGACCATTTTCATAGAGAACAAGAATACAGCAGAACCATATAAAGTGCTGACAAAGGGGCTAGGAGAAACAGAAGCAATGTACAGACTGGGAACCTTCAGTCTAGACAAGAGATGGCTGAAGAGGATGACAGAAGTTTATGAAACCATAAGTGACCCTAGAACAGCTGTTTGCTGTCCCTTTCAAGCAGTGGGATGCACTAAACAAAACCTAATGGGTGCAGGGTCAGAGCAAACATGAGGATGATGCTCTTGACCTACCATGTGTTCCAGGTGTTGGGAATCTCCAGCTGTGCCTCCTACAAGATGTGTATTTTTTCTCCTCAAAATCCAAAGGTTCCTCTTAAATCCAAACTGTTGTTACATACAAATATAATGGGGTCATCAGAACACTCATTCATCCTTCTCGCTGTCCACCTTGTCCTGTTTTATTCCCTGTTCTACATTATGTGGTGCCTCTTGCTTTATAAACGTACTGAAAGCTGTTTGGGGCAGAGAAATTACGTCAAATGCACTGTCAGGTGGCCATCACACCTTTAGGTAATGGTCAGCTTATTAAATAAAAATCACAGTTTAAAATATTTTGGCCTGTTGCTCCAGTTTCAAGCATACCATTAATTTACATGGGTTTGCATTTAATGTCCATGTAGATATTCCTTAACCTACCAACTCCATCTTGCTGCTCCAGCTGTGACTTTGTAGAGTTGAGGAATGACAGAGATTATATTTTCAAGACCTCTAAACACCTGAAGCTTAAAAAGTGACTTAAAGCATAAGAAGAAGAGTTCCAGGCATGGGTGCCATGAAAAAGGAAATGCAAATATCTGCAGATATTCTATTTTTACATTGATCTGCCTACACTTTTCCTTCCTCACAGTCAGGGCTGTCATCATTTGATTCTTGCTCTGAACCATGAACTTTCTGAAAACCTGCTACCACATCAGCTTGTCTTCATTAACCTTGAGCACCTTTTGCTGTTTAAATCAAAGTAAGTGACTCTGCACTTTTCTGGTAATTCAAGTGACAAAACTATAGATTGTTCTCTTTGTTGAGACAGTCTGAAAATGGGGCAGGACTGGCAACCCTCCCATTATTCTTCATATTTTCACTTTTCTTTGTGAGTCCAGATCAGCTGGAAAGACTTCTGACTGTTGATGCAAGTTAGACCCTTCCACAGAGTAAGCAGGATGCAGATTTCAAGGAACAACAATGTTAAATTACTTGTCTGGATGTGGTGGATGTGAATATTCTCTGTGTATGCATTAACAGCTGCACTTAATGTTCATGCTCAGACAAACAGAATGGTAGCCTCAGCCCCAAGTTACATCTAATAGATGTTTTCTAAGAATTGATGCTTTTCTTTTAAAACTTTATTTTTATCCAGTACTTTTATTTTATTCCTAAAGTCCATAAAGTATTTGGCTATGCAAAAGCAACACAGGCAGAAAAAGTAGGCAACAGACAGAAAAGTGAAGGAGTCCTATCACTGGGATTTTTGTGCAGTTAGAGACCCATGTGAGTTGTTAGAGAAAGAGAAAAAAACAGCTTCTATTTAGCTTTAAGTGCTAAAAGTGTTTATAACATGACATTTTGATGTGTATAAGGATATTCATCTATGAGAGTTTTCTACAAAATAGAAAGCGTAGGAGCTTTTCTTTATAAGAGAGTTTCATCTTGTCCAAATTAATGGAAAGATCTGCTAACAGAAATACTTTTAAAACTAAATCTGCACTAAGTTTTGTTAAGTTAATTTAGGCAACCAGTGCTGACAAAATCTGTTGCTTTGTGTGGCTTCTGCACCAAACCAGATGAAACTTCCTTTACATAAATTCCAACAGCCTTTAAAATCCATAGGTTTAGTGAGGTTGTATCTTGATCTTTTGACTGCAACCTATGAAGATAACCATGCAGTTTCACCTAGCAACTTTTCAGTTTAATGTGGGGTCTGGGGAGGACACAAACTTCTGCACAAAGCCCAGAGTTACCAATGTTTGTGACTGCTTAAAGTCCAGGCTTTCATGGAGGCCACCTGCAGTGCTTGTCTCTTAAAGTTCTGGGCATCGTGGGCTATTTTTTTTCCTTGGTTAAAGAGCAGAACTTCATCCATGCACTAAATTTGTTACACAAGGCTTCTTGCCTAAGCAGCTCTTGCATTCATCCTGGACTATATATACACTGTACCACAGCATCCAGCCTGTGAACCGTGTCTGGTTTCAGCCAACAGCACTAAATATAACTAACGCACAATTTGGGCTTGCACTGAAGCAGGACCTGAACAATGTTTAAATGCCTTTTTACAGCTGGTATGCTGCACATTCATTTTATATACAATTTTACACATGGAAGGTTGAACCACCACCTGGAAGTCAATAGCTTTGCTAAATCAGAACGAGATCTCCCCAGCTGCCCTTTCTGTAAGCACAGACAGGCTGTGCAGAGAGCTGCCTGTGCCTTCAGTCACTCTGGTTTTGGTAGCCATGGAATAACCTGCCCAAATGCCAGCACTTAAAGTATCAACCAACAGTTTCTTCCCAAACACAAAAAT